ATTAATAAAAGCATAAATATTAAATAAAAATATCAAAACTATAATAATGTAAATAAAACTTTTTCTTCACATTTAAATTTATAAAGTTACAAATCCCAGCTTTATGTTATTTATTCTCTTTCAATAAAATATTCAAGTATTTTTAAGAGGAAAGTTTCCCGTATTTAATATTTGAAACAGCTGAATTCCCAAATCTTAGCTTTATGTAATGCAAATAATTGTAGCAAAAACAAAATCGTTATTTAAAGTATCGATTTTACTTTTGTTTAAGAAAACGAAACAGAAAGCGGTCGACAGCTGCCAATTTTAGAAGGAGACGCAATTTTAAGCCCATCTTTTCCGATTTCAAATGAATATTCTGAAGAAATTCTTTTCCTTTCTTCTTCTTCGATTCGAACATCCATATCTGATGAAACGTAGCAAAAACGCTGACAGGCCCCTCCCGTATCTCCTCTTTTTTATTGTTTTTAACGTTCCGATATGTGTGCTATTTTCTAGGAAAAGAGTTACGTCATAGGAATAACAATATATTATTTTGGATTGAAACCTATAAACTTGGATGATGATAACCTATAAAATGAATTTAGAAGAAAAGAAATCTTAGGATTAATATTTACATTAAGAGATTTATTGCTTTTATCACGAAAGAAAATATTGCTGTAAAATTTAGCATGCATTTCGCATGAAAATTTGAATAGATGTTACTATAAATGACTGAAATTGCTGGTTTTTGACTTTCACCGGTGATTGTCGACAATCACATAGTCGCTTTGGTAAATGTCCGAAACATATACTAGGTCCAGTTAAGTGCCAATGTTCGGTGTATATTTGCCCGGTATGCCTTACATCAATGTTTTTGAAGATTCAGTGCCGCTGCCCGGTATGCCTTACCTCAATGTTTCTTAAGGTCAAGTGCCATAACCCAATATGCATTTAACTGGTATTCCGAACACTGATGTTGCTCCAAATCTTTCCTTAGCAGATATTAAAATATCGAATGAATATAATAATATCGACGAATAAATTAATATCAAATCGGATATAACAAATATTTCGGACATTCACCAAAGAGACTATGTGATTGTTGACATTTACCGGTGAAAGCCGACATTCTCTTGATTTCGGACAGTCATGGTTAACATATACACTGAAACGATTGCTTTTATTTGATTGTTCCATATCGTTTTAAGTTCGTGAGATCTGAGCCTTATTATAATTGATGTCAATGTAGTTTAATTAATTTTAATAATATGTACTAGTGTTACCATTTTAATTGGTATTTTTAATAGGTACTAAATTTACTAATTTTGGTGTTAGCTACCTACTATAAGTACTACGGAAATTAGTTTTTACGACCACCGAAAGGGATAAATACTGAAGAAAATTGTTGATTTTTGTAATTTTTGATTATTAAATTTTGATTAGTGTAGTTTTTGATTGACCTCGAACAATAGCATTATGCCAAATGATATTGAATGTAATCAATCTTTATTTTGATGCGATGAACTTTTAAAAATATCTTTTAGTTAATATGATAACGTAAAACCATCTGGAAGTGAAACAAATAGGTAAAAAAATATAAAGCTGGGAAAATTTTTTAGCCTGTATCGGTATATGTCGTTAAGTTTTTTGGATGTTTCCGTAGTAAATATAATTCATTGGCTGTTAACTTTTTTTTCACCTCGTTCAAAGAACAGGTATTCGACTAGTTAAAAATAAGTTTTAGTGCTAAATTTCACGTATAGGTTTAAACACGTAACAATTTCAAGGCATATTGTTAGAGTTTAAACATTTCATTCATTTGGTAGAGGAAAAATAATAAAATCGAATAACTTGATTTAGATAATAGAATACGATGGGAAATACAAAAATTTATAAAACTTATACTTTAAATAACAATAGCTAAGTTAAAAAAGAATATTAAAATGCTGAATAAGTTTAAAATTGAAGAGACACCAAAACTGCTTTATTAAAAAAAATGTAGTTATTTTTTTCTTTTAAAAATATTCATACTCAGCAAATTTAGATTTTTTCGTTTTTATGTAAAATCGGAAGCATGGAACTTTTTTCTGCATAAAATAGAAGGCATACAGAAATGGCGACAGCTGTCAATTTTGCAAAGAGACGCAATTTAAAGTCTCACTCTCTGGATTTTAAATGGATTGTTCTTAACAAATCTCATCATGGTACTGTCTCTCTTTTATTTTGGATTTTATTCTTTTCAAACAACCATGTCTAATGAGACGAAACGGAAAAATGGCGTTTCTCTAAATTTATATACTTGCATTTCCACTAGCTTTGAAAAATCAAAAGCAAGGATTTTCAGTATCGCAGTATATTATTTTCGATGGTTACCCATCAACTTTAGTGATGACGGACCATAAAATAAATTCAGAAATTTCTTAAGACTTCATATTAAGTTTTAGATTTATGGTCTTCAGCAAAAAGAAATAATAATGGGTAAACATATAAATATATATATACTATCCTACATAATAGAAGAAACACTTTCAGTTTTTGATGTTTTTAAACAATACATATTTTAACATTTTCTTTACATTTCTCAAGAAATACTTAATGAGTAAGAAATACTTAATTATACGACTAAACGACGTGGAGAGCACCCGAGATTACGCCACTCAGCGAACTTTCGCTGTTAATTTGCAGTTTTCTGCTCATTCGCAGTTAAAAAAATGGGGATGTTTCCGTATAGTGATTTGTCGCGCCAACTACAAAAAATATTTTAAACTTGCAAATCTTTTTCAAAAAAACAGATGTTTGCCCGGGGGTGGTTACGAGTTATACCTTTCGAGTTGGTCCCTTTCTGTGATGTTCTTTTTAGTTTCTGGTAGACAGCTGCTCGGCAGTTGCCAATACTTGGCGATTATTGCCACAGATCACGATGCAGAAATCTCCAAAAACAATTAACATCCGACTAAACTACCCAGCTGACACGACGGTTGTTTAGTGGGGTGCCAGGATCGAACTTTCGATCTCCAGCTAACACCGCTATGAAAAATGGTTTCTCAAAATTGAGCAAAAACGTGTTAAAATAGCTCAAAAACAAATACGGTCTAATTTGAAAACTCCATGTATTCATTATTGAGTATAGTGACATGCTCAATAATGAATACACGGTCTGTAAAACATTAATGAATACTTGATGTTATCAAACTCTACTTGGTTTGTTACTTTGACGAATATTTACTCATTTTGAGAAACCCTTTTTGCAGTGAGCGAACATTTTGAGCAACCTCTTTACCGACTGAGCCACGGGTGAGCTTTTATAAATAATCATTAGTTCTCAGCTTGGTATTTCAATAACTGTCATAAGTTATGAGCATAATATTATGAATAATGAATTATAAAGAAGCCATTATGATCATTTGTTAATTAATAGGGAAATTTCACTCTAAGATGAAGACAAACAATACCACGCACGTGACCTATGACGCCAGCACCAGCTAATCTTTATCACCAATATGGAGTATTACTCTTGAGCTCTACATAATTTAAAATAATAATTAACGGTTAATTAAATACAATGCTGTATAGCACATTCCTCTTTTACTTACTTTAGATAGATTATTAGTTTATGTATTTTATTGAAACCGTGATATATTTTTGCTTTGTGTTTATGTTCCACGTGCCTTCGTGCCTGTCTTTGTGTTAAGTAATAATATATAGTGGTAGAATTGAAATCTTTGTGAAAGAATATAGGCTGTGTTACTTAAGAGAATCGATACTTGACAGGCTTGGCTTACTATATATAAATAGAATGGAAAGAACAGTTTCTAACGTAAGCAAATGCCACGTTTCAACAACCAATCAGGATCGAGATACCCCACTACGTCACTTACATGTATCCCATAATGCACAGAATAGAAGAAAAATAGCTCCTATCAAAGACAGTATTCACTCATTTATTTATGAAATGGATAGGTATTCTAAAAAATTGAAAACTTTCAAGTTATTATATAAAATAAAGCAAAAGCTAACAAACTAAAACAAAACAACTGAATAAAATAAGAAGAAGAGCAAAAATTAAAAATCAATGTGAAATTACGTAAAGAAATAATACGTACACTCAAATGGTTCATGGCTGTTTCGGTAATTTCATGAGCAAGTGGCGAATTGGATAAAACAAAAATAAAAAAGCCGCTACAGTTAGAAAAAGTTAAGAGATTCAGAACTGCCTAAATTAGTTCTGGTATTCGTTTGGTAAATTATTTCTTGGAACTGGTTTAAATGCTTATGAAACTCATTGAAACCGTCAATCAGTTTTCATTGACAAAAACAGAAGTAATTTTTTCATTAGCTAAGTTTCTTGTTACAAATCTATTTAGGGAAAGTTAGGGAAAATCTTGCAAAATAAATCCGTAAAATATTTCGTTTTAGGGGAAAAGGGAAATCTTAATAATTCTGATTGGTTTATTAAATAGGTAGAGGGAAAAAAGTCTTTCTCACGAGTGAGTAACGAGTACAAAATTAATTTTTTCAATAAATAAGTTTCTTATTATAAAACTACAAATGAAATCGATTTAATATCTATTGTACAGGGGCCAATAAAATCTATATAAAGAGAACATAACTTTTGTTTAATAATTATTAGAGAGAAAACAATCATCCAAGGGACACAAAATCGAAGTGCTCCTCAATTAAAGTTAGGGAAAATAGGGAAAATCTTTCAAAATGAATTCGTAAAATGTTTCGTGTTAGGGGAAAAGAGAAATATTAGTAATTACAATTGATCTATTAAACAGGTCGTAGGAAAAAGTCTTTCTCACGACTTAGCAGCGAGTACAAAATTAATTTCTTTAATAACTAAGTTTCTTATAACGAAACTGCGTATGAAATCTATTTTAATATCTATTGTACATCTGCCAATAAAGTCTGTCTTTCCTCAGGTATTAAATAAGTTTGCTAAGTTCGGTTTGCTATTTATAAACTTTTATTTTTTATTTTTATGGAAGAGTGTATTCAATAAATTCTCATAAAAGTTCTTATCTGAATTTCTGTTTTCGCATTCCCCTCTTGAAACTAACGCATAAAACTTTCAATCGCAAATGTTATTTTGTGATCGCCAATGTTATCTATTTCGGTAATCTCAAAACTAGTGACAGAAATGAGATGGGAAAAGTCGAAAGTGTGATAAAACTTTTGAAACTCATATTTAACGTTTTCGGGATTCCTCTTCACCAAAGGAGAAAAAAAAAAAGGTTTGTTTATTGAGAAATATAGTGTGACTACGCCTCAAAGTTTATGTTTTATTTTTTACACCCTATTGAAAATAGCTTTCATCAAAAGTTTCCCTAAATTTTATTATTTTTTCTCAGTTTATTTAGAAATATTGACTCTATATGTCCTACTAAGAGAGCTGTATTCCTTCAACGCTTCGGTTGTAAATTCCCACGATTTCAACAATCATTTTTATTTCTTGATAATAATCAGATCATCGCATTTAAATTGAAATGTATTCAATAGAAAGCGGGCAAAAATGTTTCATTGAATGTACGAAGGATTAATTTCCCAGGTATAGAACGCGATTCTGTCGGGATAAAATTTAAACCAAATCATTTTGCTCCATTGGAAATTCATATACATTTTTTATTCTAAATTCCTATATAATGTTCGGTTACCATAATAATTCGTTAAATGTTTTTCGCCAACCTTATTATGTTATAGTTAATTCTTAATCGCGATTTACAGTTTTTAATATTATTTTAATTGCATATGTTCATTGGGCAAATTTTTATGCAAAACTTGTATAATATTGTAAGGTAACTAGTATTGTTGCAAATTTTATTTACATTATTTATTGTGAAATTATTATTGTATATTTATTGGAAAAATCAATTGTAATTATATCATAAACACAACTGGTTTACCGCTTGATAACGGCCGGGAGAGCACGTTGGGCCCATATTCAAGAGGTCATGAGTTCGATCCCCACCTGTCGAAGTCACACCCTCTAGTAAAGGGTGCACTTTTAATCTGTCGGGTCATAAATACCCCATGTATCCATAACAAATCAATACCACCGGGAGTAATGAATTGGAGATTGATTATTCTTTCTTTCAGGTCAAAATTACTATCTGTAGATGAATGTATGAATGGGTCGGCTCTATAAGCGTGCTGTGACGTGTGTGTTGCTGAAGTCGTATTCTTAGCTATAGATGGAGCCACCGAATCCAAGAAACGCACCCCCTGCCCTAAATTCGCTTGGTTTCACCAACCAGGCTCACTAGTATTAGCAAGTAGCATTAGAAACAACAACTATTTGATAATTGTAGAACGGTTAGGAAGTTTATATATTGATTTAAATATGTTTATCACAAAATATCTCTCAATACAGTGATATTATATAGGATTGCTTTATAATAAAGAAACATATTTTAGTTTTAAGCCTTTGATTAGAATCACTAATTCAAAAATGTATTGGTATCAGAGTACACTAAGAAATGATGATAATTAGATATTACAAGATAAGATAGAGATATACTTTAAGGTACCTTTAAAGATTTTATTAATTTTACGATGATAGCAAACAAGAAAATGGGTAGACTATATTTGAGGGTGCCCATTGATTCTCGCCAAGTTGTGATCGCGGTTGATCGGCAAGCTGGGCGATGTTGAAACCCAATCGTGATTCTAATAGGTTTAGATTTCAGCTTTATTTTTAAATGTTCAACAGTATATGTAATTTTAGAGGTCCGTTAGTTCTGCGTTGGATACCGGCTGGTAAGGTTGCTTTTGATTATGGTCAATAGGATCGAAGGTATGTGGGCAGTCATTAAAAGGGATTATAAAAAAAATGTCACTGCCAGTCCAGTACCACGGACACCATTTTCAATTCGTATTTCGCCAAATTTATGTGGCGATGGAGGTACACAGATTCTATTCATGATAAATTTAGACAGAATCTAACTGCTATTGTAGAATTCTGTGCACCTAAATCTGAAGATATTAAAGCTTAATGAAGAAGTGAGATTTTTTTCTTTTCCTTTTCTTTCTGTGCTTACTCCATAAATTTTTGTTTCGATTCAAAATTCATTTTATTGTGTTAATTAATTTTGCTTATATTGGGTTCATTACAATTTTATAAAGTTTTGGCCGCCATTCCTGTTATCACAGTGTTCCACGCAAACAGGAATGTCGCCAATTTCGCCAAGCGGCACCCTCAAGTATATTTTAACCAAGAAAATCTAGAACTTCATGTGGATCATGCTTACACATTGCATACTTTTCTAGGAAAATTGTTTTATGAAATTAAGTTATGTGCTTTTTAACTGCGGAAAATAGCAAATAAAAAAAACAGCAAATATATAAGAATTTATTTTTTTACTATTTTGTTTTAGGATAGCCGAATATTTATCTTTTATTTTATTTTTGTTTTGCTTTGTGCAAATAGTTCCCGAGATATAGCGAAATACGCACAAGTAAATATAATAAATCTCCCGATAGAGCTATTTTTGTAACTTCCTTTTTTTTTCTTTCCAAATTGCAGCCAGCTACTTCAATATTTTGATGTCAAAAATTGGAATCGATCGAAAATGGAAATAAAAAAAGCGTGTTTTATAGTAGAAAGTACGTTTTTGAGTCTTGTTTCATAACCTTAGAAATTTCCAGCAATAAACAATTACTATCTCTTAAGCAATGGTATGTTCAAACCATAAAAATAACATTGTAGTATGAAAAACACCAACTATTACATCAGTTAATTAAATTGAAATGAGTTTGTTTAGTGTACATAATGTAATTAAAGTTCACTTATTCAATTCTGATTTTGTCAGAGGCTATGCAATGAACCAGGAAGCTATCAAATTAAATTGCAGTTAATAGTGACTTTATGAATGCTTTTTAAAGGAGTTACATGAGTCTTAAAAGAAAAGAAATTATTTTTTAAAGTTTCACTAAGTATATATATACATAAAATGATCAAAATTAAAGAAAAATAATAAGTTTCATTATTTTTTAATGGATGTTTTAGAAAATGTTTTAATTTTTTATTGTTTTTCTTATCTTTTAAGAAATCTTTCTGTTGTATTTTTCCATATTTTCTCTACATTTTTATATTCAGTTCATAAGCAACCCTGCGAAAGTTTTTCTGACAAGGGAAACTAGGGAAGTGTGACTCGCCAATTTTGAAATAAACTAGTGGGATGTATGCCTTATGAGGAATAATTTTAGGGGGCAACATTCGTTTCGGCCCATAGAAGGTCCTGTGAGAGATAAAAAATAATTCAATATATAGAAANGAGAGAGAGAGAGAGAGAGAGAGAGAGAGAGAGAGAGAGAGAGAGAGAGAGAGAGAGAGAGAGAGAGAGAGAGAGAGAGAGAGAGAGAGAGAGAGAGAGAGAGAGAGAGAGAGAGAGAGAGAGAGAGAGAGAGAGAGAGAGAGAGAGAGAGAGAGAGAGAGAGAGAGAGAGAGAGAGAGAGAGAGAGAGAGAGAGAGAGAGAGAGAGAGAGAGAGAGAGAGAGAGAGAGAGAGAGAGAGAGAGAGAGAGAGAGAGAGAGAGAGAGAGAGAGAGAGAGAGAGAGAGAGAGAGAGAGAGAGAGAGAGAGAGAGAGAGAGAGAGAGAGAGAGAGAGAGAGAGAGAGAGAGAGAGAGAGAGAGAGAGAGAGAGAGAGAGAGAGAGAGAGAGAGAGAGAGAGAGAGAGAGAGAGAGAGAGAGAGAGAGAGAGAGAGAGAGAGAGAGAGAGAGAGAGAGAGAGAGAGAGAGAGAGAGAGAGAGAGAGAGAGAGAGAGAGAGACACAGAGAGAGAGAGAGAGAGAGAGAGAGAGAGAGAGAGAGAGAGAGAAAGAAAGAAAATTAAGAAAAATAATAAGTTTTATTATTTTTTAATGGATACTTTAGAAAATGTTTTAATTTTTGATTGTTTCTCTTCTCTTTTAATAAATCCTTCCGTATTTTTCCATATTTTAGTAAAATTTTTAAATTCAGTTCATAAGCAACTCTGCGAAAGTTTTTCTAAGCTGAAAATCTCCGCTTAGCCATACATCGTATCACAATTATTTCAAATCCATATTATTTTTAGAAAGTTATTCGTAATTAACAAGCATTTCAAACAGAAAATTTACTAATTGATACTACAGACATCGATACTTCTAAATCGAAAAATCATAATTACAAGTATACTTTGCACCACAAACTCCATAATTTAATTAATTAAAATGTTATTGCCTATCACAGGCGGATCATTCAACACCTAACACGCATGTTTTTGAAAGTGTAAAAAAAAATATGTATATAGTTTTAAAGCTTCACCAAATAAAGACTGCAATTAAATTATTTTAGGATTAAATAAGTTCTAGAGAAGAGGAGAGGTTGGTTAAGAAGCAGGAGGAGGCACGCAAAGAAGCGAATTTAAAAGTGGATGGATTATTATCCCCCTATTTGAAAGATCTCTGTATATAATGGTTGTTCTGGGAATGTAATGCTTCAATAAGCTACTAATTACAGAAGGGATGAGAAGTTTAATTAGTAGAACGTGTGGTTCGAAAAGGCGTTTACGGAAGGGCTGCTGGCGTGTTCTTGCAGATGGAATTAATGACTTACAAGCAGGACTCCCCAGTGGAAATTCATTTTAATACACTCGGGGAGGAAACTTTAGATTTTCCACTTTCGTTTTAAAAGACTTGAATAGTTACTTTCAGATTTATTTACCTTCAGGCTCGAAATATACTTAATCCGATGCATCTGAATTTCTATCACTTTGAGCAGAAGAAATGCTTCTTTTTCGAAGCTCTGATGCTGAATGAATATTTTTGCAAAAGGTAATTAACTCTTTATCGAGCGTTTTCTCGAAAGTGTATGCTTTGCTCGTGGAATCAGAGAAAATAAGTGTTTTTATTTTATGAAAACGGGAACCAATAAAAAAATGAGTTGATTTTTTTAGAAAGGAATCGTAAATTAGCGAGAGTAATTGTAGTGCCCCTACCACTACAAAAATACAATTCCAATTCACTAGTATATAAGACATAAACTCGATTCTGTGTTGGAGTGCCTTTTCATCGATGAATGTTGACATTATCGATATGACTCTCCCCACATTGGTGACCCGGACACACAATTGGTGACCCGGACATTTTTTTATTATAAAATTGAATTGTGATAAAAACAAAGTTTTAAAATGATACTCGGTAAAATAATTGTCGAATTTAATCTATGTTTTGCCATCCCAGGCATTTGTCCTACTGACGAAAGAATTTTAATAAAGTTTTACTATTTGTGACTTTTTAAGACTGCCTTTAATCAACCTAATCAAGTAGAATTCAACGAAATTTTCGCCAACGGCTATAGTTAAAAAGAGCTATAGTTGTAAACGGCAATAGTTATAAATACAGTTATAGTTATAAATAGCTTGGAAATAACGCTAATATGCATAAATAAAGTGCCGCATAGTTATCACGGAACTATGAGCAAATACAATCTCATGTTGTGGCTGATATAGATGATGGTACTTGCTTTCAGGGCAGACCTGTTTATACAGTGAATTCGCGATAACTCGAATCTGATAGGACTGACGAAAAACTTCGACATATCGGAAGTTCGACTTACCGTTAGTTTCGGTTTTAGACTTTCAAAATATTGTCGGATTATTTAATTAATGTTTATTAATTACAAATCTTCTAATTGCTTACAATATTAAAGATCATTTTTCTGACAAGCCATTTACGATAACACTGTTTGAAGCTTTTTATGATACCCTGGTCCATCGGCTACAACTTTGCTGTTGTGTCTGGTTGGAGAAACTGCAAGTTTACTGCTTTCAAATTAGGTAGATCACTATGTGCTGTGCATTTATCCATAAAGAGTATCACTTTTCTTTTTTTAGCGAAGAATTTCAGATCTAATTTTCTTACGTAGTCTTCAAATAAAACTGATGTCATCTAAAACTTTTTGTTAGACTTGTAATCCAAAGGACATGTTTTTATATTCTTGAAACATCGGGGATTTTGGTTTTTTCCGACAACAAGTAGGGGCAATTTCTCTGTCCCAGACGCATTTCCTCCAACTAGGACAGTCAAACGTTCCTTGCTCATTTTACCCCCTGAGCAGTTTTCATCCTTAAACATCAGAGTTTTATTTGGAAGACATTTAAAAAATAAACCCATTTCAATATTGAAAACATCATTTTAACTGTATCCTTGAAGTAAATTTGGTAACGTTNTGTCTTAACGATCAGTCCACTGCGGGACTGAAGAAAGTAAAGTAGTGATATTTTCTGCATACTTTTTAGTTATGAATTTGACCTAATATTTACTTGTTTAGTTTTTGTTATTTAACAAGACACAAATGAGTTTTGGCATGAAAAAAAATTAAATTTTTCTTTTCTTAAGTGAGCAGTTGGAAATTTACATTTCAGATTAAGTGTTGATGTTTTTTCTT